GGGACAAGAGTAACATTTGAGTAGACTGAGTAAAGCAGACCACCTACCCTAGTGTGGATGGACTTCGTCCAGTCAGTTGAACTCAAGAGAACAAAAAGGCTGAGTAAGAGTGAATTCCTTCTTCCTTACTGTCTTTGAGCTGGGGCACTGGTCTTTTCCTGCCTTTGAACTCGACCTGAAACATTGGCTCTTCTTGGGGCTCGAGCCTACTGGCTTTCAGACTGGAACTTAGACTGTCAGCTCTCCATTGTAGGCCTTTGTAGTTGCACTGGAACTATATATAATACCACTGCTCTCCTAGGTCTCCAGCTGGCTGACTGCAGATCTTGAGATTTCTCAGCCTCCATAATTACATGAGCCAGTGCCTTATGATAAAACTCTCTTCTCCCTCTCTCTTGTATATATATCCTAATGGTTCCATTTCTCTGGAGAGTCCTGACTAATACAGGTACAGAAGATGGAATCAGCATAGCATGGCATTTCACTGTATATGAGAGGTGAAAGGAAGTTGCCAAGGGTGATCCCTCACTCGGGCCTGGTGACTGGAGAATAGTCTTGCTATGGGCTGAAATTGGCGGTAAGCAGTACAAACAAGAATTGTATATTTATGTGCAGTGCATGATTTGTACAGCTTTATAAACAGAAAGCCTTGGGATTTTCAAGGTGTACAGAAAAAGATGCCTTTTATTTTTTTTTTAAAGATTTTATTTATTTATTTGACAGAGAGACACAGAGAGAGCAGGAACACAAGCAGGGGGAGGGGCAGAGGGAGAAGCAGGCTTCCCACGGAGCCAGGAGCCCGATGCGGGGCTCGATTCCAGGACCCTGGGATCATGACCTGAGCCGAAGGCAGCCGCTTAACTGACTGAGCCACCCAGGCGCCCTGGAAAAAGATGCCTTTTAGACAGTTGGTTCTCTGGGTCTAATTTTATAAATAATGTAGGGACTGTAGAAATGGATGACAAAAGGCATTAAGATTTGATGTGGATGTGAAAATCTGGGGCACAGCAGAAAATACATTTGATTCAGGGGTGGGCATTTCTAGGGTAGGATGTGTAGCAGGCGGGCACAGCTCTATTTTGTTGAGCATGCTTGAGAGCCACTCTTAAATGGTAAGTGGGATGAAGATGGAATTTAACAACTGAAAGAAGATGGAAGAGACAAGGGCCCAGTAAGAGGGAATTGAAAGTCTGTGAAATCCAGGGTGTGAGAAGGACTATAGAATATTTTGGACAGGATCTGTAGTTTTAACTGGTATCTTATTTTATGCACTTTTATATGTGATGTCATACTTCAGGATAATTTAGATTCTTGGTGTATCTGTTATCATTTAATAACAATAGACAGTATTTCTGAGCACTTAAAATGTGCTGGACTCTACTTGATCAGGATGTGTGTATGTCCTTTACTATCTCTTTACATCTGATGACAAATGTGTTGGTTAGATCATAGCCAATGACTTGTCCTCAGTCCCTTCAGCCCAATAACAAATTAAGAGAGAAGCATCATTTGACTTCTGCTTCACCTTAGTCCCTCCTGGAAAAACAGGAATTACAGAAAGTTGCAGTAGCATGGCTTCATTTTCTCTCCTCTCCTCTGGGTATGATGCTTTGTTAGTCAAGCTTCGAGATTTATTTTGAGAAAAGCCATCCAAGCAAATGAGTAGAATCTGAGTAGAATGAGTTCTATAAGACTCATTTAAAGAAGCAGAGGGGTATGTACAGAAGCTGGCATGGGAACACACAGGCCTTTTTGCTGTGGTTAGAAGATGATTGGACTTGGAACTGAGTAATTGGTTTCGCTTCTCCCTCTGTGGCTTTTCTTAGACTCTTAATCAAGTGGAGCCTGCATTTCCTTATCGGTAAATTAGGAATAATAATAACATATGTTCAAGGGTTGTTGGGAACAACAATTGAATTATTTGATGAAACTGTTTTGTAAAGTGAAATGTGAATATAAGATTGTTCTATTCATTTTGACAAAGTCACGTTAATACTGTAAGCCATATTGCATAAAATCTCACTGTAGTCTTTGCTGGTGGAATTTATGCACTCCTTTAGGACACTGAGAGAACATTCCTCTCTGTGTGGTTTCCCACATTGGCGTCTCCAACATATGCCCTCATCAGTCCTTTCTGCGGGTGCAGAAATGAAGCATCCAGGAAGAATGAGGGTCAGTTTGTGTACTCCTGTGCCCAGAGCACATGCATGGGTAGAACTACTCCCTGCAAATATGTACCAATAAGCACATGAAAGAGATGAGATGGAGTGGTTATGACTTGCCAGAAGGTACACCAGTGAGGGGTGAAAAGCAGAAACAAGAAAACAGCTTTTTGCTTCCCAGTTTAGTTGTTGATAGAATTCATTTTATGTCTTCCCTGAAATCATCACCCATGAAGTTCAGCTTACCTTGATGGGAAGTTGAGGAGGTTCATGAAATATTTAAACTTCTGTTCACTTTCTTAGTGAAGAACCATTTTGAATTCCGTGAAAGAAAAATATAATCTACCTAAATAATTACCGTAATCCCCCACCCTTTACTTTTGTGAAGTGAGAAGTCATTTCAAATGTTTATTCTTGCTCATCAGAAAAATAAATTATTTTTTTCTCCTTAGTCTGTAATTGCTCAAATTTCTCCCAATTTGACGTGCCACATTTGCATGCAATTACTCTCCCATTTTATACTCTCCTGATCCAAGTCCTCAGAAGCCTCAGCCAGTCCTCTCTGACTTTCTGCGCAGTCACTCCCATTGCACTCTGGCCTCTGTCCACCACCCTGACTGAGCAAAGCTTCTGTGGATACGGTCACTGGTGATTTCCTAATGAATAATGCCAACGTATTTTTCTCAGCTTTTGATTTTACAGATTTCTCTACTGTGTGTAATTCTCCTTGAAACTTTTTCCTTGACTTTCATAACACAGTCATTTTTATTCCTTTTGTACCACTTTAATTGTTCCTTCTCTGTCTCCGTAATCATTTCCCCGCCTCTACTCAGCCCTCCAATATTGATACTCGTCAGGGTCTCTCTTTGATCTTCTGTTCTAGTCACTGCTCATACTCTCTCCAAGCGATCATAACCATTTTCGTGATTTCACATACCACCTACACACTGATGACTCCTCAAATGTATTTTCAGTCTAGACCTTTTCGCCACCCTTAGGCTCATGTGGCCAATTTGCAGGTGACTCTCTTTGCCTAGAGTTCCTCCAGTTGCTTCACAGTTTACAAGACCAAACCTGAACTTTTATCATTTCTCCTAAGCCAGTTTTTCTGTCTGTATTTTTACCATTTCAGTTAGTAGCACTGTCATCTACCTAGTCCCCTGAGTCAAAAACAAAGGCATTTTTTCCTACCTCGACTTCATTGCCCATTTCCAGTCGATCCGCTGGCTTCTAGGTTATATTTTGATGTTTTGTATGGATTTCCCTGGTCAGTCCCTTTCTTTCTTTTCCACAGCAACTGCTTGGTTCATTTCTTTCATCATCTGATATTAGGACATCCTTCAGTGCCTCATTGTGTCCTCCCTCAAATCTGCCCTTCATACGGCCAGTAGAGTGAGTGATCTGTGAAATGCAAAAAAAAAACCCGTCTCCCTTCCCTGGATTACACTATTTAGTGTCTCACTCCTCCCTTCGTTGCTGACAGCAAGATTTCCCAAACTTGGTTTCGTAAATATATGTATGGGCTTTAGAACATTCAATGAGAATTTCTCAGTTTTTTTTTTTTTTTGGTAACTTTTACTGATAATCATTTTACAGATGATAACCTTATTTGTGTTTATGATGGCATTTCTGTCAAAGAATGGCCTAAAATTACTAGTTTAGCTTTAACTGCAGTACCTCTCAGCCCACATCAGAAGATTCTGGTGGTCATAGACATACTGTCAAGGATCCGTGAGACCCAGCTCTACCTATCCATCTGTTTATCTCTCTGTACAGATATAGGTGTGCTTGAATACCTATAAGTACACATACATATGTAAGTTGTTTATAATAGTTATTTTTTGTATATCAGGTATTAGTGTGGATGTGTATATAATTTTACCAAAGGGGTCTTACATTTTTCAAGTTTGAATTACACTCATTCTACCTATAAATTTTAAGGCCTTTAATATATTTCCTAAGATCTTTTATGATCTGGCTTCTACATATTTCTTTTAGTATCTTGCTTTATATTTTCTGTAAAGGAACATCAAACTGCTTGTGGCTCCTTATATACACAATGCTTTTCTTTTCCTTTTTAAGTCTGTACTTTAGCTCTTATCCCTTTGGTGTATGGAATCTCTTCCTGAATTTCCCTGACTTTTAACTCGGAACTCCCACTTAATGCTTTATAAATGAGTGCTACCATCGCCTCCTCCAGGATGCAGTAATCCAACCAGAGTGTGCTGTTCAGCGGTCCTCCTGTTTCCACAGTGCCCTGAGCATATCTCTATCTGCATACATCTTACTGCCTTGTAGTGACCCGTTGCAGTCTCCACCAGACGGTTACCTTCTTCGGGTCTTGTGGGTTTTTTCTCTGTTATCTTTCAAGCATGGCACAGAGTTGAACGAGAGATAGTGACCTGAAAATACATGGGGGAACCACCTTTGCTTTCTACCAGAGGTCTTTCTTCAGTCAGCCTAAGCAATTCCTTTCACAGTTTTTTCTCTTGGGTTTTTTACACTACTGGTTTTTGAATGTTTAGTATGTTTTTGCATGCTTTGTTTAGTATTTTAAGTTAGAAAAATCTGTCTAGTTTTGTTTTGTTTTTTTGAGGGCGAGAGAATGAGCATGAACAGGGTGAGTGGGGCAGAGGGAGAGGGAGAGTCCCAAGAAGGTTGCGCGTTCAGTGTGGCTCCCAACGCAGGGCTCAATCTCACGACCCTGAGATCACGACCTGAGCTGAAATCAAGAGTCAGACGCTTACCTGACTGAGCCTCCCAGGGTCCCCTGTCTAGTTTTTATATGAAGAAATGTTAGCTACAGAAAAATAACACTTCTGTTCCTTTCTGTTTTAGGCGACCCATCTTCTCAGTTGCAGGCTCAGGAAGCCGGAAGTTCTGAAAATACGTTAAGTCTGCTGGAAGATTCTGGGTGTGATTTATCACATGAGCAGAGAAGTGAGCCTTCAGAGACGACCCAGCATCTTGTGGAGAGCTGCACCCCCACACCCTTTCTACCACTGCCCATTGTGAAAAGACATTGTACCACTCAGGAAAATCCTCTGTCTTCCCACATGCAGTTCTTGCAACATCTACTTGAACTGAAGAACTGGACAGAATCAGGGAGTCTGAAAACAGACTTAAGCCACTTTGAAAATGACTTTTCCACAGTATCTGATTCTGTTTTTCAGTTGCTGGATGGCCTTATCACTTTTTACCGTAAACCCAAATTTCCTTTTTCAAGCTTTTGGGCAGAAGCTGTTAATACGTTAGCCAGACTGATCAGTGATTGTAACTTATCTAATCATATTCTTAAAAAGTGTTCCAAGAAGTTGGAAGAATTTGAGAAAACCCTACTACAGGTTATTTTAAGGAGCAACCATATAAATCGAGTAAGTATTAAATCTCTTCTATTCATGAAATAATACGTCAGTCGTTTTGGTGAACATCCCCATTGGGTAATGTTGGTTGCTGTCCGTAGACTCCTGGCTCAGAGTCTCCGGCTGAGACCTCCTTTTGCAGCCCTGTGTCGCCCTCACTCCTTGTCACGTCCCCTCCTCTGGACTCTTGATTGCTACAGCATCCTTCACCACAGAGATGCCTGTGCTTCCAGCTTGTACTTCTCTACTCTGCGTTGTTATCTTCCCTGTTTTTTATTGCTCTTCTTGAATTCTCTGTTTTCCTCTGCCTATGTTTACTTCCTATTGATCAAAAAGTCTCAATATTTTTCAAAAAACCACTAGCATTTAATGGTTTCCCAATCTATTACTTCTCTGGGTGTTAAATTCCTCATGATGGATTACCTGTACTGTATTGAATTTGTTTTTTTTTCTGGCACTGACTAGCAGATGCCTGGAGGTCAAAGAATATTTTTCTCTTCTTTTAGAATTTCCATTGTAAGTGGCATAATACCCCACGGACCCTCTGCAGTTGTGGATTAAATGAGTAAATTGGCTGAGGAACACACAACATATGGCTTTATTATGTGTTTTTTTTTCTTATTTATTTAACGTGGCTTAATTAGGTTGACTCGGATTCTTTTTTAACAAGTGACATTGAGGTAACCTGCCGTTGTTTTTTTGTTTGGCTTTTGAGACATAGTAGATAGTTTTTTTGTATCACTTCCTGTCTTCCTTAGGATCTGACCCTCTGTTTGGGAAACTCCAAATGCATTCACATTTTATTTTAAATATTTTATTTATTTATTTGAGAGAGTGAATGAGATAGAGCATGAGAGGGGGGAGGGTCAGAAGGAGAAGCAGACTCCCTGCTGAGCAGGGAGCCCGATGCGGGACTCACCGACTCCAGGATCATGACCTCAGCCGAAGGCAGTCGCTTAACAAACTGAGCCACCCAGGCACCCTGCATTCACATTTTAATCCTTCTAATTGCCTATTTAAAATATCACAGAGGAGACTAAAAGGTCTATCTGACTTAGTAACTGTATTTCACTGTAGGAAAAAAGTTGTTACATCATGTTTCTTTTGATACATCGTTGTCTGGTGTTTGTCCTCAGTACCATTATCTGACTTTTGTACAGGGAAGCTTTACCTGAATTTTTACAACTCTAACAAAACTTGAAGCCTAATTTGTTGTACATGCATCTGTTCTCTGTTAACATGTGGTTTGATCGGTATTATAGAAAACTTTACGATTGAGCTTTTGGCATTTGTGAAAGGTGACTTTTCTGTCTGGCAAACTGAAATGTTTTTTCTACCTGATATGGTCAGTCAGGAATTAAATATCAGATTTTTCACAGTAGTATCTGAGGTATATAATCTGTGTCTTCACCATTAATAAATATCTCATATTTAATATTTCTTAATCTTTTCTTTGGCATATTTTTGCTTTCTTTTAAAACTACTTTAAACAGGTTTTATGTTGACTTGGAACCTTTCAGATACTGGCATTTATATTCTTTATCATTTAACAGATGATGGCGTACATTTTTTTCAGTCTAGTTTTCCACTTAAGGATTAGAATACCCACAAGTAGCCTTGGGACGTGTATGGAAGGAAGGGAGTATGTAGAAGACGATACAGATAGTACAGGTGGATCTGAAGTATATTTTCTGTACCATTTGCCGTGATGCAAGCTGTTGTCGAATAGTTGGTCAGCAGTGGGTAAATGAGTGAATGAATGGCTTTGATCTTTTCTTGGTGAGGTCATTGTTACAGGTAGAGAAAGTAGAATCATAAAATTGCTCACTGCGTTTACAATTAGGACGATGACTCATGAAAAAGTTTTAATGATATTCTCTCTGGGGATTTTTTTTTTTTCTTGCCAGTAAAAGCTTCTTAGATTAAATCATTCCAGCTTTAGTTGTCATTATTACTATCATCATCATCATCTTCCAGTTATGTTCATAAAGCTTCTTTATTAGAAAAAAATGACTAATGATTGCTTTTTATAAATCTTTTTTTCTCTTTCTTTTTTAGTTTCAAGAAAGAATATATTCTGATGTGAAATATAAGATAGCTTCTATTGCATTTTTTATTGATACTATTTTTGATTGATTAGTACAAAATGCCATAGTTTAGAAAAAAAAATTGCTTCTTTGGAAAAACCTTGTTTCCACGATTGGAATTGTTTAAATTATATTGCTTAGAAACTCAAGCCCTGCTATTGATTTTGTTAAAGTAAAGTTATATTTGTGCAATGTGATAGGAAAAGTTGTGGTATGAATACTTTCATAGTCTGACAGAAGGATTTCATATGTTTATATTCATCTATAGCCAGGTTTTAAATAAAATATGTATCTTTTACATGTTCTTAGTACATTTAGTAGTACAATTATTCTGGCCCCATAGCTTAGTTTTTCTTTAATAATCAATAAGAAGTTGGTATTTTTCATAATCTTGAGGTTATTGTGAATGTCAGTAACGTCAGGGTTGTATATATTCAAGAGATAGGAGGTTGAAATGAGACACCATGGAAATTGTTTTGAAAAATTCCCTAATTGTAGCTTGGTTGAAATTATTAATAAGTTTGGGGGAGAAATAAGCTTGTGGAAAAAATATATATGATTTGTGATTTTTCAGATTTGGATAAATCCTATTTTTGTACTCTTTTGTGCTATAATATACACTGTATTCAATAACAGATTTTTAGGAATTGTTATCTTAGTGTTATGTCTATATCATATTTTTAGGATAACCATTAATGTGGGACTAGAAGGTATAATCCACAATGACATCTTTGACAGGTAGAGAAGATATGTGTCTTGAAACCAGATGGCTTACAGAGGTCTGAACTAGGCTTGCTCTAGGGGTCCTTAGAGGCAGTCTTGACTTTACTTGTGTTCTACTTTCAGGCCCCAGTATGGCATGTTTCCTCTTTCACCTGCGTACTTGCCTTGGGGTCAGAACTGTTTGCCTTTGAGGTATTTAATGCCCTTTGTTTGATGGATAGCCTGACCTTTCCTATATTTCCAGACTTCAAAATGTGTTTATTTCTACAATTAGGCATTTCTTCCACTTATTTTGTCATAGGCCAGGATACTATCATAGAAGTTAAACATCAGAATGGTTATGATTCTACTTAGATTTTGTCATAAATTTTCATTTGTTTTGAAGAGATGGGAAAGATTATATTAAGTTAAATATCAAAATCTGTAGTTATCCTTGAGCTTTTAACTTAGCATATGTTGCTAAATCTTAAAGATATACTAGTGAGTTACTTAGAAAACTTTCTCTTCAATTTCTTATTTTTTAAACCATAAAACAACTCTTGGACATATTGTGAAATTTAAAAAAAATTGACTGCCAAGTAGACATTAACGTAGAATCTTGTATGTATGGTAGGCTGAATAATGGTCTCTGCTAAAGATGTCCACATCCTCATCCTTGGAATTTGTGAATATTTTATGTTACATGACGGGATGGGGTGGAAAATTAAGGTTGCTGAGTTTGGGATGAGATTAGCCTGGATATCCCCATGGGCCTGATACTCACAAGGGTTTTTGTAAGTGAAAGAGGGAGGCAGGAGAGTCAGTGTCGAAAAATTTGAAGGTGCTGGCTTTAAAGATGGAGGAAGGGGCCATGAGCCAAGAAATGCAGGTTGGAAAACACAAAGAAATGGATTCTTCTTGAGATCCTCCTTAAGGAATGCAGGCCTGGCAACACCAGTGAGACATACTTTAGACTTCTGATGGCTAGAACTGCGACTGAATAAATTTGTGTTGCATTAAGCCACTGAGAGTATGGTAGTTTGATATAGCAACAACAGGAAAAAATACACTATGCTTAATATTTTTTATAGTGTTTTCACATCTGTTATGACATTATATATTTATACAACAACTCTAACAAATGGCATGGTTGCCATTTGTTAGATACGAAAAATGAGGCTCAGAGAGATTTGCCCCAAGCCAGCAAGCTAGTTAGCACTGGGAACACTAGTACCTAGTGTTAGAGTTGAATGTGGCACTGCTTTCTCTCCTCAAAAACCTCAAATTTGGTAAAACTGACCCAGATTCTAGGCTCTGTGCAGATACTGCTTGTCTGACCCCCCTGCCGTGGTCTGTGTGTTCACCCCTTCCTGTCTGGATTTCTGCAGTGACTTCCTTCCAGGTTCCTGACTCATCTGGTCCCCCTCTAACCCATCCTCCTCACCACTGTCAGCGTGATCCTTAAACAATGACAAAGACAGCACAAAATGGGAAATTAATTTTTTTTAAATCACCCTTAAAAAAATGTCAAAGATCCTTTAGGGGCTCCTCATGGACTTATAAAAAAGCACACATTCTCTTGATGGGCATTGAGCAATGTATGGAATTGTTAAATCACTATATTGTACACCTGAAACTCATGTGACACTCATGTGTCAGCTACACTAGAATTAAAAAAGAAAGAGAGAGAGAGAGAAGAAAGAACAGAGGGAGGGGGGGAGGGAGGGAAGCAGGCACGCCCACGAGGCCCTTCTCTGCCTGGCTCCTGTCCCCCCGGTTCAACATCATCTTTCTGTATTCCCTCCTAACCACTCTTCACTCCAGACAGAGTTATTTGTAGTTTCAAGTACGTTCTATTCTCTTCCTAGTACCTGTCAGTCCCTTAGCCCAGGACACCCTTCTTCCATCTGGCTAGTTCTACCTATCCTTACAAATTGCGCTCTAGGATTAGCTCCTCAAAGAAGCCTTCCCTCCCACCCTGCTTCCATAACTGTCTTTTCCTTTTGCTGATTAAATATCCCTCATATAAATTCACCACAGTGCACATATCACTGTATGGTAGCTACTGACTTGTTTTCCTCCTCCACTAGAATCCATATTTGTGGCCATATGCCATGCCTTACTCAGTTTAGATCCTCAGGGCTCAACATGGATTGAGGGGCATCTCATTATAGCCTGGTGAGGGTGGACGTCTGGGCTCCCACTTGACCTTTGCTCATGGGG